AAGGAATCAGGGGCCCGGGTTCTATTCCCGGCGAGGGCGTGACAGCAACGACAATTTTTTTCTCATTAATGTGAGGCAATACGTGGAGGATAGAATATTAATTAATATGATATAGGCAAGTATATTCGTCAAATAACAAATGATATCTAAATTTGGACGGGTTCGGCCAGTTAACATTGATATTGTGGGGAGTTTGAATTATATCCTGTCAAAATAAGGCTATAGGCGGGCTCGTGCGTGAGGGATTTATTGGGTCTCTTCTTACTTCTCACAGAGCCCTTTGAAAGACTGTAATCTGTTATGCCGAAAAATAAACTTGCGCAGCTTTTGTAACCTACCTAATAATGCGAAAAATTCTATTCTTACTTAATCAACAATGAACAATAAGAGCCTTTTGTTGGAAGTAATTTTTTTAACACTCAAATGATTTATAAAGACAAATTTGTTTCGTGTTGAAGTTAAAAAAGGAAAAAAAAATGCTGTCGCGATTCCTAATGACAAAAGAAAAGTGCCTACTTGTTACATTGGGTGTATTTTGTATTGTTTGTTTTTTATTATTTAAAATTTACTGATACATTGAAAGTAAATTGGTTATTTTTAAATGATATTGAAAGTGGCTATTTCACGTACATGTGTCTGAACAATTAACTCCCATTTGCTTTGCAAATTAAAAAAAAAAAAGGAAAGAGGTGAATTAAACATTTTAACATTGTCGAAATCTGATATTTGCAATTTTCACGTATGCAATTGTTTTTAATTTCCATACAAATAAGCCAGAGTGTTTCATAGAGTCGGAAAATTGTTATTATAATGATTTGATTGGTTTTTCGTTGAAAAATATTCGAAACAAATTTTCATTTTACAGCGTCGATTTTCAACTTGGAAAACGTTAAAATAATATAGGTACCTGCTTCACTTTTTCGATACAATATTAATTTAATTTACAATAACAACACGATTTGATAATTGGTTAGAAAAATACATAATAATAATAATAATAGGTACGTATTGAGATATGGTGTTATAGGGGGATGTCAAAAAGTTCCGTGAATAGAAAAAATTAGAAATGAGGAGATATTATCGTAGAAACAGTAGGAGAACGTGCGGGGCTACCGAATTTAATATAAATGGAAAGTTGGGTTGTTAGTACAGCTTCTCAATCTAGTTAGAAACTCTCCAGAAGCAGAAACAGGAATTAATGGGGGTAGAGGCAACTAGTTAAAATGTAGGTTACTATAATTTTCAAGAAAACTGAAGATTGATTGTTTTTATGATGACGAATGGAAGGAGACAGTAATAATAATCTAAAACAAAAGAAGTCTTTTCTTTTGTTAAATGAAATTAAATTTATCGATGTATTTTTGAAATACGGAGTATAAATACGCGTATGTATTAGGTATTTGATGTGGTAGTTTCCTTGTAGGGTGTTAAGACCCTTAACAGCATTTCAAAAGGATAAACCACGACGAGAGCGCTTTTTACGTCTTTTAGTCCTGTTAATTCTACCACTTCAATAATAGGTACAAGAGTAATTCGACTTTCAAGTAACTCTAGTTACTCAACGTTATTCTCATTTTAAAAATCGACTATTAACAATATTTTACACGTGCAATAAAAAGAGCAACTTTGCAACCTTCAACTTTCGACCTAATGGGTAATTTGTTCTACCGTAAGTGCTCCATTTTCTTCACTCTATCGTAAAAAGTTAATATTAGGGAGTAGCTATTAGGAACAAAAAAAATGGATTTTTTATTAGACTAAATAACAAGGGACAATCCACTTTTACTACCCATCTGTGGGGACAATATTACGGTTTATTATCCTGTAAGAAAGTAATACATAAGTGGCTGTAAACTATTACATAATGGCATGATCATACATGAAGTCAGAATTGTATTATTTTTTCGTAAGGGGGGGGGGTAAATTTTGGAATGCATTCACGAAATTCAAGCAATTAATTAATCTTTTAATTATTAAAATTACTTGTTTCACAAAAAAAATTTAAATTCAAACACTTGACGATTTTGATCAATGTTTTTATTAGGACTTTAAAACTATAATAATAGTTTAATTCAAATTTCAAAGATACAGTTCTAATTTAACGTAATTTTATTTGGGAACGGTCCCTTTGGTAGGCAATTATTTAGTCTTCTTACACATCCATTACATAATTAGAGAAAAAGCACCTATAACGTTTTCGGGTGCAATCCCATGGCGTCGGGACGCATTCCAACACCGAGCTCGGAACTTTCCGCGAGTTAATTGTTTACAGAAAAGTTTTGCGCTTCTATCGGCGGAAGTACCCTATGAAAGCACATGAGTTAACATTCACACATCAGAACTTTCTTCATTGAAATCGTTTAGGGATGTTTGGTGATGTCTATTTCACCACCTGAATAATATAAACGGTTGTACTTAATATTAAATTTGTACAAAAATTCGCTTCTCTTTTTGCTACTAAAAGTTCCTCTATTCGTTTTCGTCGTCATCAATCAAAGAAATATCTTTCGAATGGGAAAATAAAACGATTATTTAATATGAAAAATAATTCCGTCTGTTCGAGGATTCGGAACGGGAATGACGTGTTCCCTTTTTTCCTTTCCCACTTGCGTTGTTGGCTATGTGAGTGCAAGACATCAAAGGATAATAAATGTTCACCATGGCGTCAAGCCTCTCTTCACCAGTTCGATACAGACTTAATGACGACATTCGAAGTAGTGGAAAATGAGAAAGAAGAAGGAGATATCTTGCCGGAAACTGCAACGACGGAACTCGCTCGCTTCCGATCTAGTTTCCCTTTTGCATTTTAGCTCGGGAATCTTCGGGGAAAAGGCGCTGCGTTACATGCGAAACGACTGTATAAAAAAGATAACGTTTGTTTTTGTGTTTTCGGCGTGAAGGGCAACCGATAAAAAATGAAGAACAAAAAAAATTGACAAGCGCCACCACTTTCTTCTCTTTTTTCTGTTATTGTTGCTGTAGTTTTGTTTTCTATGAAAAATTGACGAACGTCAACACTTTCTTTCTCTTGTTTTTTTTTTTTTTTGATATTGTTAGACTGTTTATTACTCGATATTACATCATTAATGAGGGGGTGGTATATCGTTGAGCTGGAAAATCAGACCCAATGAAACAAGCTGAATATCCATCCCTAATTGATACCTTTTCCATTTGACACATGCACAGGATCAATTTCACAGGATGAAACTGACTGCAACAAAAGTTGCCATGTAAACCTTTCACACTGTACCTGTAGCTATTAATGACCAATTATTTTCTCTTTAAAGCTCGTTATTAAAGCAGTCTTTATTCCCGTTTTAAACTGACTCTTCTTTTCTGTAACATCGTCAGTTTTTACCATTTCACCACGTAGGTAAACGAAACAGAAAAAAATAAATTTTGTTCGAAATAGAATTATTTTGTAACAAATTGCATACTAAAGCTTTCAGAGCGTAACTTTCGTAATTAAAGAGAGACCAAAAGCCGCCCTCGGCGCTTCGTTTCCTTGATTTATTAGTGGTTGATTGCAAAGACAGACGCTAAACTGAATTGACAAACACCTCGTTCATTCTTCCATTGTTAACATTAAAATTTAGTTAAAAAAAAGACAAACGTCTTTGTGTTACTCCATATTAAAACAAAAGCTGTGCGCCATACACATTATTAAAATACGAATTAATTTTAGATACTATTCATATGTCAGTTGCTGTTTATAATTGCTCTTGTAAAGGGTGTCCATTGAAGGGAATATTGATTGCAATTAGCAGATGATTAATTGTTAATTAGTTGCGACAAATAATGCCAAGCAACGCACAGCAAAATGCATTCTGCGTCACTTTGTCTCATTTGTAAAACAGAAACAGTCTTGTCAATACATGCAGTGAAACTGGCACATTTAACCGAATAAACTTAATATATCTACTAATTGGCGAATCTAGCAAATTAACACCAAAATTGGAAGTAAAATTCATTTGTCAATAACGAATTTATCGAACCGGAAAGGCCATATTTGATTGCCTTAATTTACGTATTGATCTCACATCATTCTATGTTTGTTATTATTATTATGGTTGCACATTAAAGTTTTGAATAACTTCCGGTCTTTCAAATTCCCCGCTAAAAAGAGAATCCTCTGGGTGGTTTCCCCGTAATTCTGCGAACGAACTTACTAAAGCTATCTATCGTATAAGCGCAAAAGATTGCTCTTGTTTTAAAAGTTACTTGCCAGATGGCGCATCGTCCTTTTTAATCGATTGGTATTCACCCACGGCTCTCGGTACATCCCCTATTGCCAGTTTAAAATATTTTCTGTAAATGTAACTCCTTCAAATGGGATTAAGTTTTGTGTCCAAAAATCACATTAAAGTCACATTTATTGACTAAAGTTCCTAGAAAGTCGCTTAATTTATTTATTATTTTACTTTCTATGTTTCAGAATTATCATTAGTTACTTTTTATGACTTTTTTTCTTAATTTTAGTTAAAGAAATTAGTAAAATATGATTTATATTACTAATATCATCAGATTAAAGCTTTTGAAAGAGAAATTGTTGTTGTGTAGCCTTTAAAAACTTAAAATACACATAGTGACTGACTTTAGCAGTAAACATTAATAATTAAATGAGATTGCAGTGTGCAATAATGAGGTTTAGCTGGTTTAACAATGATATGCACCAATTATAACAATGAATCAGTGGTTGTTGTAACAATGATGTTTGTAAATGTGCAATAATGAGGTTTGACAGGTTTAACAATGATATACACCAAATACAACAATGAATCAGTGATTGGTGTAACAATGATGCTTGGAACAGTGCAATAATGATGTTTGTTAGGTGAAATAATGATAGATTGTCAGCTCAAACAAATTTTTTATTGTTTACATTAAAAATGCCACAAATTTTGAAATTTATTCTATGTTTTATGATCACAATCATAATAAAATTATTAATTCTTACTTATTTATTTGATTAAGAGTAAATAAATAGGTACAAACATGCAGATAACTATTTATTTTTACTGTAATTTATTTTCGTTTGTGTTTTGAAGCACAGTATTTGTAGAATGAAAAATATTACTGTACATTATCACTAAAATAGACTTATAAAGACAAATTGCTGTCCGATAAACTTCAAAAGGTTGTAAAATGTTTAAAATACATCAATTGATTAACTTCAGGAGTAAATATCACTAATTAAATGAAGTTAAAATGTGCAATAATTAGGTTTAGCAGGTTTAACAATGATATGCACCAAATACAACAACCAATCAGTGATTGGAGTAACAATGATGCTTGAAACAGTGCAATAATGATGTTTGATAGGTGAAATAATGATAAATTACCAGCTTAAACAATTTCTTTGTTCTTGCAATTGAAATGCTTCAAAATTAGACTATTATTTGCAGTTTATTTTATATTATATGATCACAATCAGAGTAAAATTAGTTTTTTTTCTTTAGTACATTTAAAACATACTAAATCACATAAAACAAATTATTTATAATTGAAGTTGGCAGCTTATATATCAACTATGATTGCTTTTTAATTTTTGAAGTTTCCCATATAACGTGTTTTCTTTCAATCAAGTCCTCTTCTGTTAATAGATCGAGCAGCTTCATCTGAAATAATTTATTGCTATTATCTACTGAATAAATTCGATAAAATGCTTACAAATTTTGTTGAAAAAGGTCATTAAATTAAATAGTTTAGTACACACAAGATAGTTTAGGTGTTTTTAAGAGACAATTTACAAACCTGTCTTCTGATAAACTTCACAATGTATTCGATATTCTCTGGATTGGCTTTCTGGAGTTGATAAATCCTCCTCCAAACAGCTGCTGCTAATGTTGTATCATCAGATAAAAGACCCTCATCGTAGGCTATCAGAGCAGCTAGAAACTGTTCAGATAGATTGTGTAACTGCTCTCGGATTCCTGCAGGATTGACTTCCTTAAACAGACAAAATAAGTCACAGATTAATTGTCATCATATCATTAGCTAATTGTGACATACTCCCAGTTTTTTTGACCTCATCTGAGCATCATTCCAAAAGCAGTTGATAAGTCGTTTCTTCAAAAATTTGCCCCTCTCACCTTCAGCCATCAGCCTTGCTATTAGCATCCAGACATGTAGCTCAGTTATCACATACCACGAATAAAACGTGTCAGGAAGGTCTAGTACTTGAAACAAACGTGCATAATCGATTTTATCTGCTATTGTTTCATAAAGAATGAACCCTGCAGCTTCTAGTTTCTGAAACCAAATCGAAGATGAAAAACTCTTCAAAAATGCATACATTTCATTTAATGCAGATAGAATAGGAATGAGGAACTTCTTACTAACACTTCTGTGCATTATTAACTTCAAATTTGTTTTTATTTTGTCAAGTAAACTGTCTTCGTCTTTGTATGTCTGAACCTTGGTGATGAAACATCTTGCTGGGAACTGTAGCAATTCTCGAATTGTAGGAGTGCAACAGGGGTTTCTTCTGACTAATGTATTTCTTAATAAGTATGTGTTGAACCCTGAAATAGTCCTGAAATCGTTCAGTTAATCACATGTTCCCTTTCAATTAAAAGTCATGACATTTACACCTTGTACAAGTTCACAGTACGTGATGATAGCATTCTTGAGCTGCAAAATATTAAAAAACTGTTTTATTCTTCTCAAAAGTACACTTCTCTTATTTGTTTTTCTTGTATAAAGAAAATTAAAAGGTTATTAGATAATCAAATTTACATAGTGCCATCTCTGGGCCTACTTCAATTACTGTAAAATATCTCGAATTTCGGTCATAATGACAGAGTAAAAGGTGAGCAAAAATTTTATTTATAAAATTGTACGCGTCACTTTAAACATTAAAATATAGCACAACGTTTTCGTTAATGTTATACGATTTATTCTATGTAATATTTGCTTTATAAAATTATTCAGTTTCTGTGGAATTTTGGGGAGAGCCCAGGCATGTTCTGACAGGGAAGTGAGAATCCTCTCCAATATTTTATATGATTTTTAGAACAAAACGAATCGTATCACGATAATTTCAACAAAAACAAGTAATTGAATGAGTTTGTTGTTCTCTAAACGTGAATGTTTTAGGTTTCCATCATTTTGTGAGTGAGTTGACAGCTTTCGAGAGAGTTCAACTGAAGTAATTGATATTAATTTTAATATTATGGATAATTAATGGAAATTGCTACAACTGGGTGCATAAAACAGAATTAGAATAATATTTATTATCTCAATTGTCTTTTGAAAGCCCATTTAAACTCAAAATAATAGTTAAATATTAATAATTGGGTATTCACCTATACGTGCCCCCAATACTTTATACGTATTATGATGTACACTTTAGTAAACTTAAATTCTACATTTAAGTACTCTAAGTTCTTCTTCGTGGACCTCTAATGTTACAATAATTTAGGTTTTAATATCTTCATGTCAAAATTCTTTGAGGAAGGCCCTTCAGTAGGAATACATGCACAGTAATTAAGCAAAATCAGCAATAATTTTTAGTATTGTCGTTATCACTAGGATGACAACAAGGAACTCATTTAAAAACAAAGTGAAGAAACCTTTGGAAACAACATTGGGAAAGGCACCAATACAATGTTTAAAGGAGGAATCTTTCGAGGACCTGTCTCACATTCGAAAACCAATTGATACAAGCATTTTTGGCTTAGGACAGGTGCTTTCGTTAATCCATACGGCTACAGATGAGGTGAAAATTAATTAAGGCCTAGCTAACGATTAAAAATGGTGTTTTTTCTAAAAATTCGATACGAATTGTATTTAATAGTTTGCTGTTGCTTTAGTTACAGTAACAATTTATTGATAATTAAATATAAAGCTGTAAAATTGCAATTTTATGACTGAAAAGTGGTAATCAATTCACTGCATTCTCTTTTGGATTAAATTGGAAAAAAGTTGTGACATTCTTAATAGCAATTCAGAGGGTTTAATTTTATAATTTTTACTCTTCAATTAATTTTAAGGTAAAAAATTACATCACTTACGAATGTAATATTTTGTACGAGTGCAAGGTGTGTCGCTCAATTTTTCGCAGTTTAGCAAATTTTATTTTGCACAAAAGAAAGTATTGCCAAGAAAAGTATTCCATTTTCCAAAATTACAAAGCCAATGAGGTAAAATTGAATCAGTTTTCACCAATTTTTGCGTTTCATAAACATTTCGCATCATTCCAGACATACGACGATTTGAAATTTTGCGAAAACGACGAAAATAATAAGGATGATAACAACTCGAAAACAGTTAAAGAAAAACATTCAAAATCATTATCGAATGTACTCGATACTTTGCTTAATAAACAGCAAAGTGTGTTCTTAACTCAAACTATTCTTAATGGTAATTCGAATAACGAGTCAGATTTGCCTGAAAATTCTGACAAATGTGGAGTTCTCGTTTTGGAGAAAATTAAAGGCTGTGATAATGCTCTTTTTCAAACGAAAAACGACAAAGGTCATTTGAACACAGATTTAATGAAATCTGAGGTAACTAATATTCCACAATCACAAATTAAAAACGCTATTAATTATCCAATACGTACAGGTAATGGAAATTCATAGTATTTTGGACAACGATGAGGCGATATTGGGCCCCGATGGTAAAATATTAACCACATCGAGTCAAAAGACTAACAATTCTCATTTCCCCAAAAAGGACATAACGTGTACGATTTGCAACCAAAAGTTTTCCACCAAGAAAACTCTCAGTTGTCACATCAAATACAAGCATAACAAAAACAGATTGGTCTACCCGTGCCCCGAGTGCAAAGACACCCTTTCGAACACGTGGTGCGTTTTCCGACATTTAATTAAAGTTCATAGAAAAACTCCTTCCGAAATAAAAAAATTACGGGACGTCATCCACTCTAGCGCGATCATCAAGGACCAAGAGACCAATCTTGCCAATTCAAATGACAAAGGGGACGAGAAATTTAAGAAGGAGGAAACCGAAAGCCAACACAATCAGGTAAATTATATATATAGGGTTGTTCGGAAAGTCATTTCGTTTTTTTTTTGTGGAAATGAAAGACAGTTTTCGTATAATAAACAAATACTTTATTAAATTATATATTGACCGTTCTGGTCCAACACCTTTTGCCATCTTTCTGGTAGTAGCATAATTCCACGCTCATAAAATTTTTGGTCTTTGCTGGCAAAAAA